CCTAGTCTTGCCTGTCCCCCCCGGGCTCACACTAGGAGCCAGGGGGACCAGGGACCGGGGGCTGCCCCGTCACAATCCCCGCCACGCATGGAGCCCAAGCCCACCCCCGACATGGGCATTCAAGATGGGCTTGGAAGAAATCCCTTGTCCCTGGGCTCCACGTGGCCCTGTCCCCCCATCTGTCCTCCCATGCTCCCCCTGGATCAGCACATGCCACCGGCCCACCCAGGGCCATCGCCCAGCCCGGTGCTTGCCCGCAGCCCCCATCCCCACCTTTGATTTAGCTACTGACCATGAGCGAAACCTGCCCTGATGCCACCTAACTTCAGAGCAACAACCCAGCAGTGCTTCTCGTACCCCGTAAGCCCTTTGGGATGAGCACACGGCATGCCTCTCGGATGCCATCCCCCTCATCCCCCCTGTCCCCCTCGTCCCCTGGCTCAGGTCCTGACCATGCTTTGCAGCTACTGGCTCCAGAAAGGCCATTCCTGGGGCAGGAGATGTTATAAGAGGAGACCCGGGTGCTGCCCAGGTTTGGCATCTGGGGTGGGATGGCGGTGGCCCAGGGGGGCTTGGTCTCCTGCGAGCAGCCTCCAGCTGGAGCTTTGCAGCCCACGTCGCTACTGAATTAATGCACTAACGCCCGCGGCAGCTTGAGATGAGAAATAAAGCTAACGCAAGCGCTGTGCTTCCACAGTTGTGCCTGCAATCCGCCTCTCCACAGCCAGTGCTGTGCGTTATTTGGGATTAGCCGGGGCGGCGAGGCCCTTTGGGAGCCCCAACCAGGCTCAAACTTGCCGGGAGACGCAAGCTCAGCGCTGTACCCCAAGGCACGGCCAACGCTTCATGGGTCAACACCCATAAGGGATTGCAACACAGGGGAGGTGGGTGCAGGAGTAACCCCCCTGGAGCCGGCAACCAGGCAGCGGGGTGGGAGAGATCCCCTTCCCGGGAGGGAGGGAGGGGAAACAGGGATCTGCTCGGGGGTCTTCAGCCCCAAACCCACTGGCTTCCCCGCACGAACCCGGGCTGCGGTTACTGGGAAGCTCCTGGGATCGGCTGCAGCTGTCAGGACTGATGGTGGATTTGAGGTCCTGCACATCATCTATGTGGTTCCAGTGCCTGAGCGTCGCTGGGACCCTCAATGCTGCCCTCCTGGACAGTGGGATTTCTCTTGGGAAAGCTGAAATCCCCAAGCCATGTCCTTGAAAAAAGGAGCGGAGATGAGCCCCATGGGGAAGTCCTGCTCCACACTGAGAAGCAAGCAATTGGCGACTCAAACCCTATAGAGATGCCATCCTCTTTGGAGGACATGCATAATAATTTTGTCAGGCATAAATATTGACTCACAAGTCTGTGCTGAGTTGGGTGAGTTAAAAAAAACAACCAAAAAACAGCGAAATTTCTGAAGAAAAACACCAGATTCATCTGAAAATTTCTTTTTTTTTTTCTTCAAAAGTGAAAAATGTTTAAACCAGTATTTTTAAAAATGGATTTGCTCCAACTAAGGAGCTCAAAGGAACGTTTTGAAACATTGGCACTCAAAGTTCTCAGCAATGAAAAGAAGTAAAGAAAAAGGATAAGAAAAGCAAGAATTAATTGGATTAAAATAGTTCGGTGGATCTTTTCAGCAGCCTCTTAGAAAAACAGCTCTAATAAATCACTGATGCGGTTCGAGAACTCAGTAGAGCTTGGCCAGAAGATCTTGCAACAACTCCAAGTATTCTTTTGAAAAGGACTATATTGAGCTTAAAACCTCACACACCACAAGCCAGCAGCAGAGCCAGGAACAAATCCTGCAGTGTGAAATGCCCGCCTGTCCCTACTAAGCCGTACCAATCTCCAGCACGGGGTTTTCCACATCGGTCCTCACTGTCACGCTCTTGACCCAAAAGGGAGGATGAGCAGGTACTGGCAGCATTTTGATTTCTAATGGTCAGAACATTGGAAATTTCTAATGGGAGGATGGTCCAAGGTGTAAGAGTGACCCACTGGGGCCGTGGTGGAGATGCTATGTCCTGGCAGGGCACTTGAACACCCGCTGGCAGCAGCGGCATATGTGGATGATGATGAAGACGATGCTGATGACGACGTAGCTCACGCCAATGGCCTTGACGGCGTAGATTGTCTCAGGATCGTCGAGCGTCCGCCTGCGCCGTTGCGGGTATATCACGCTGAGACGGAAGCCGGCCACCATCTTGCCCTCCCGCCAGCAGAAGTAGGTGCCTCCATCGCTGACCCGGACCCGCTGGATGTGCAGGTGGTTTCCGTGGTCGATGAAGATCCGCATGCTCTTGTTGACACCTACGAGGTAGCGGGAGCGGTAGAGCCCACGCTGAGACGGAAGCCGGCCACCATCTTGCCCTCCCGCCAGCAGAAGTAGGTGCCTCCATCGCTGACCCGGACCCGCTGGATGTGCAGGTGGTTTCCGTGGTCGATGAAGATCCGCATGCTCTTGTTGACACCTACGAGGTAGCGGGAGCGGTAGAGCCGGGCAGAGTCCTTGTCCCAGGCCACAGCATGCTCGGGCCGGGCTCCTGGGCACGCAATGATCAGGCCACTTCCAACGGGCTGCTTGTGAAACTGCGTGGGGACGTGGGGCAGCCAGGGCTTCTCGCCCAGCTTGGAAATGACATTGGAGATGGCCTGCATGCCTTCCTCGGGGACCTCCTCCTTCAGGCAAGGGGTCAGGCAGCTTCGGATGGCCACCTCGGGTCTCCGGAGGTGGACGGGGTGCTGGAAACGCGCGGGGACAGCCCTTGAGCCACAGGATGTGACGTTGGGCACAGCAGTACGATAGCGAGGGTGCAGCTGGGCACTCTGCACGTAGCAGAGCCCAATCCGCCGCTGCTCGCCTCTCACCCCACAGCGGTCACATCTGGTCCAGTCCCAGAAGGTGGTGAAGAGGCTGAAGAGCTTCTTCGTGTAGTCATCCTGGACGTGCTGGCCTCTGTCCACAAAAGCCACTGTGATGTGCTTGGTGGGCTGCACGTCCACGTCGTAGCCGTAAAAGAAGTCCCCTTTCTTAGTGCCGCACAAGTAGTGTCCTGAGTCTGTCACCTGGGCTCGGAAGACGATGAGACTGAACATCCGGATACTGAAACGCTTCAGCATGTCGCTGCCTGCGTGGATATGGCCTGAGTCGACAACCACAGTGCCGGCAAAGTCCGTCAGGACTGTGGTTTTGTGGCTGCCCATGTTCTTCTGGAAGTACCAGATGACAGAAGAGACCTCTTCGGGCTTGCAATTGCAGGGGAGCTCGAAGGTCATGTCAGCCAAATAAGCGGCATTGTCGAACATCAGGAAAGCAGGACAAGCCATCCTCTTGAACACATCTCCTTTCTCTTCAATTGCAAAAGCGTGGAGAACATCTACCAGGGAGACGAGAATGGCGGCTACCCGCACACTTACAAAAAGGCGGTCTCTCCAGTCAGCAGAACCAACCCAGCCACCACGTCCTCAGCGGGGACGGCAGGAACCCACACGTGGGGTTAGCAGTGCCAGCATGGGGCAGGGATGGTGCACACACCAGCTCGCTCACCAAAAATGGGGTTTGCAAACGACCCCTCGCCTGCAGTGCACGTGGCTGGCGGCAGGGATCAGACTGTGGCTGAAACATCCCATCTCAGCCGAATACCTGCTGGGAAGCACTCCATCCTGCCCCGGGGCAGGCTGTCCCCTGGGACACGGACTCTAGAACCTCTCCTCTCTCCCAGCTGCTCTAGAGTGTTGTCCGTGCCCTGGGCAACGAGCGGGCACGTGGTTTGTGCAGCGCAGCCACAGAGGGAAGATGCAGCAATGGGAAGCGTGGTGGGAACAAGGGAACTGCTGACGTCTTGAAAGACTCACGTGCAGTAAATGTTAAGGATTTCTCTGACCCCTCTGAGAGCAACGAACCCAGAGAAGACCCTCCTTCGATGGCAGCTGACTTCTGTAGTCCAGAACAAGAGGTTTCAAACATGGTATTTAGATTTCTACATCCTCCCTGTTGGCTTTCCAAGGATTTGTGTGCTGAAGCCCTTCTGCACAGGTAACGTTTGAGACAACTCCTTTCTGAGTGACTGAGCGAGGCTTTTCATTCACATCACCCTTGCCTGGGCTGATGCTGGAACCAGCCCTGGAGGCCTTAAATGCATCTCTGCTACGGTGAAGGTGAGCTATTTGCCCCCCACTGACTCTGGCTGGACCTTCAGCTCAGCTTTTGGCACTTCTTGAGCAGACGATCAGATCAGACCATGAACTGACGGGTTGGGAAACTGATCCCAGCTGGTCTAACAGCCCGTCCTCCTGTAAACGTTCACACAACCTCTCCTGTACTTCATTTCTCCTGAGTCTTCTCACCAAACCACGGGGATTTTGCCTTTCCCCAAGTGATGGGGACACAGCAGGCTGCTCCCATCCTTGACATAGGATGTGAGTGCCAGCCCTGAGCCTCTGGACTGCTGAAAACACTGTGCCTGATCCCACCATAGCTGCAACTGTCGTGCTGGGGCTGTTGCTGCATCAACATCCTCCACCCTGACCTTGGGAAACTCCAGGATCTTCGTTGTTTTCTTTAAGACTTCAGCTTTCGGCTTTCTGCTAGTCTCCAGGTTTGCAAGTGTTATGCAAAGGCAAGAGGAATGGCACCCACAACAGATTACAAGGACACAGATGTCCCCAAAAGAGATGCCACAAAGCCCAACATTCAAGTACCAGACCTCAGATGATAATCAATTAGGTGCCTGGTGGTTTCTACAGGGAAGGTGGGAGAGGGATGGTTATAGTCTGCCAGGGTGACTCTACCTTTTGCTCCTCTAGATGGGTTTTGCAACAAAACAGACCTGAGAGTTGGTTTTGAACTGAGTTCAAGGGAGTCTGAGCATTGTAACATACATTGGGCTCCTCAGCACACTTGGGAGAAGCTTGAGGATCCTCCCAGACCAGAACTGCAAGAGAGCTTGGTGGGTAGGTGCTGAGCTGTGCCATATGAAGGCCTCTCTGGTTGGCAGCCAAAACAGAAGCGCAACTCAATTTAGACACAGTATTAGGCAGTCCTTGAGAGTCTCTTTATTGGACTGAAGCCTGTCAGTTCGTTCTAAATTTGAATTTATGTGGAATTTCAGCAAATCAGATAGTGTCTGAGATCATAGGACCATGAGGTGACAGGATCTCTGAGGTTTACCTGCTGGATGGGGTAGAATAACAATAAAATAGCTGGTTGGATAGTCCCAGATACACCACCTTGCACAGCATTTCCACCTCCATCAGCCCATTCTAACTTCAGTGGCTGCACAGTTAAACACCAAGTGTCATTGATTACATTTCTTAAATCCCCTGAGTGACAACGGATAGAGATGAAAAAGGGAAGGGACTATTTGGGTTTTGGCTTCTCCTTGAAAAATAGCAGCCTAGTTTTACTTTGTTTTCCTCATCTAAGAGATTGTCACAGAGCCATTTTGTGAGGACACCCTGCCCCAGAGATCACAACACAGTCCTCTCGGTAACTAACCTTTATTTGTGCAGACTATTGCTCTGGGTGGCTCCCAGCTACACAGAAATGTACAGCGATGCTCCAGAAGTATCCGATTTAGCCGTCTCGCACAGTGATGCCAAAGTCAAGCTTTCAGCCTCTTTTGCACTCTGCTTCTGCATGACCCTGCATGACCCACCCTGCAGGTGCTTCTGCTCCTTCAGTTGACCTGGTAACATTTCAATAGCTCCATCACCATTCTTTCCTCTTCGGCTTCCCTTTGCAGGCTGGTGTCCCTGACGTGGTCTTCCCTCTCTGCTTCGCAGCCGGCTGGGCTGCTGGAACAGCCAGCGGTCCAATAATCCCTGCTCATGCTCCGCAGCTTCCTAAACAAATCCCTGCTACTCTCCTTCTCCGACTCACTCAGGAGATCCACGTTTAACCCGAAGCGCTTGGTGCCTGAAAGGCTCTGTAAGATCTGAAGGATGGCATCTCTGTCTTCATGACAGATGTTCTCTGCCAGCACCGTAAGGAATTCACCCAGGAGGCCAAAGCCCAAGTCAGCCTGAAAGATTCTGCCCAAGGCCTTCCCTCCAAGTTCAAGCAAAAGCTGGTACTTTTCTTTTCCGCTTTTTAAGCATCTGCGCCAATCTCTGTAAAATTCGGCAGAGGTTCTGGGCAGTTGATCCAGTTCCTGAAGGAAAAAATAGTTACCAGTTCCTTTTGTTTTGTTCCCACTTGAAGATTTTTATCCCCCCCTGCTCCCGATCAACCTGCGAATGGCTGAGATGTTTTTAATACAGGCTTTGATAGCACAAAGGGCTGCATAAAGCTTGTGAGGTGGCAAAACATAGAGAAAGACAAAGAAATATCAGGTTTCTCAAGCCCCATAGAAACCAGAGAACTTCAGGGGAAACTAATGGAAGAATGGATGAGACATGAATCCCAGCATGGATGAACACAGACCAGCAGTGGAGTAACCCCAACCCTAACCAGAACCAGACATGCTGCCCAGTCTGGATCCACCGGGATCTGCTCAGGAACGGATCTCCTGGAGATCAGGGTAGCCTAGGGAAAAACTCTGCTCCATCTTGAGCATCATGAGGCAAATCAAAGGGGTGAGGACATAAAAGATATGAGATGTAAAACCCAGAAAATATGCAGATGGCCCTAACACACCATCTCGTAACATACTGCATTCGTACGGCCTGTGGCAGAGAGCTTGCACTAAAAGAGAGAGCCAAGCTCAGTGTGGCATCTCCAGATAAAAGGAAATCCTGTTTTATACAATATGTAATGGAACTACTGAACTCATCACTGCTGACTTAACTGACGCACAGACTGAAGGAGGATTAAAATGTTTAGACTTTTATACAGATAGCAAGAACAAGGCACAGCAACATCAGGCTGTGTCTAAACACAAAATGGAGAAGCCCTGGAGATCAGAGCCCAAGTGCTAACAGGATTAGGAACAGAATTTGCTCTAGGGAGATCATTGCTCAGTCCAAGCAAATACAAAGCTGCCTAGAAGAGTTGCAAAAGGATCTCATAATAAACAGGCAAATGAAATTCAGTGTCAAAAAATGCATGAGAAACATCTGTGGGAAACATCCCTGGCTACACGTCCAGTGACCAGGACTCTCCAGCACAGGCAGAGTCCACCGGAGGGGGCAGGACAGATGTCATTCAAGTCACAAATGACCTGGATAGAAAATGTTTGGTCACTGTTTCCCACAACTGAAGAACCCAGGAGCATCCAGTGAATTCATCAGGCAGCAGGTTTAAAACAAAATAGCACTTTTCCATATCATGCATAATTAAACCGTGGGGTGAAAAAGAACTGGCTATGTTCACAGAAGATCTGTGGTCTGTGGCTGTTAAATGCGATGATCCAGATGCACCACCCTGGCTCTCGGTCTCCAAACTGCGGCCAGCTGGAAGAGTGCGGTCAAGGGAGGGCACTCTTCCCCAAGAATCTGTTACTGGCCACCATCAGAGGGAGGGTATTGGGAGCTCTGGTCCGAGGCTGCGCAGCTGGTCTTAGATTTCCACAGAGTTGAAGCAGACTCTTCTTGAAGCAGCTGGTGCAAGCTCTTAGCAGACACAAAGTAGGGGCCAAGACTGAACACTGTGGTTATCTAAACACCAATGTTCCTGGGGACTTTGAGGGCTTGTTCACATGTAGAGATATTTCTGAATAACTCTTGCATTTTAAAATAATACCCAAATTATTCTGGAGTAATTTTTAGATGTGGACAAAGTCCCGGAAAGCGTCTTCCTCACCTGGGGTATTTCCACGTCGCTGGCTTGTGGGGCCTTGGCGTGGGCTGCACAGGGATTCCACAGCACGTTCCTCCTCTTACCCATCTTGTCCTTTTTCTCTAGGGGCTTCAGGTGTGATGCCAGCACGATGTTCCTGCAGGCAACAAGAAGAGGATGGGATACTTAGGAAAATCAAATACTTTGAGGCTTTGAGCTTCTTCTCCGAGGCAATTTCTGAGTTTGGGCCATATGTATCATCGAGGGACCTGGACAGGCTGGAGGAGCAGGCCCATGTGAACCTCATGAACTTCAACAAGG